AACATGACATTTGAAGAAAAAAGTAAAATAACAACAATACCGAACTCCAAGGGAAATTCAAAACGGAAAGTCCTTTATAAAATGGGAAAATCAAAAGTTCAAACACATCTTACGATTTGAAATCAACTGTCATATTCCTGATTTGGTATAGGGATTTCCTTATGTAGAAAATGGTGGATTAAACCTGGTTTTATAGCTAGATAAATCTCTCATTTGTATGACAGTGGCATTGATTTCCATTATATTGACAACAAAACAAACAGACATTATAGGTAAAAACGTCAAAAGTTGGGGTACAGCAGTCAACATTGTAATAGAATCCTAATCACGATCAAAACAAATAACTGTTTCAATAAAGAAACACAAAATGGCATATAGACAAAGTACATAAGCAAAAATGAAAGGCAAGAATTCAAAATTGATCATAGGATTAGCGCAATAACACAATGGCAGGATGTATAAGTACCGAGCCACGTCATAAGTATATAATCAAAAATGGACTAAACAGTAAAGGTTAAAAAAATACAAGGACAAAAAAGGGGAAACTTTAACACGTAATTAAGATGATAAACAACGTCAGTACCTAGAATCTATACTTCAAGACTATCATGTATTATTTGTGAAGTTGATACGGAATATTTATCAACAAGGTCTTGGTATCTTCCAATGAACTTTTTAAGAAAAAGGACGAGACGTTCTTTGACATAACCTTGGCTCATCAACTTTCTGCTCAGACACTGGTGACGTTTTATAAAGTCTGAGTAGCAGCTGCAAGCTCTTGAATACCGAATGAGTTGGGAAATGTATATCTCATATGCAGGTGAAGTTGGTATATTGCTGCTAAGGTAGGGAAAATTTATAATTTCTAAATTAAAATCGTCTCGCTTGTCATAATTTCTGGTATTGAGATGACCGCTTATGACAAATTCGAGGTATCATCTAAAAACGAGGCGGAGGAAGCCGTGTCGGTTGGTTCTTTAATTTCTAGTTCTGGAGGATATATTAATGGAACCCAATCAGAAAAGTTTGGATTGTTAATGGAAAGAACATTATCAATATACCTGAATGTGAAATTAAACGATAGGGCTTCTTTGAATTTCTTGCTTTTGACAGGTGTCTGAAGGAATTCCGACTCATATGAAAATAAGAAGAGGTCGACAAGGAGAGGTGCACTATTCGTTCCCATAGGAATGCCGACAACTTGCTGAAAAAGTCTACGTCCAACGTCAACAAATGTGTTGTCAATGAGAAACTCCAGCACACTGACCACTTGTTTCTCTGTGTAGCATGTTTAACCTTTTTGATCACTATTAACAACATATGCCGTATGGTATCCCAAAGCAATAAATTTAGAGCGTATGCTGCCATTTTTATATTAAAAAGCATTGTGGATTATTTCTATTGGATGATTTATCAATTTCACATGGGGAATGGTGGTATACAAGGTTGAAAAATCAATTTACAAGACACTTATAGTGGTACGATTTACATACAAACACAATATTATTTGAAGATTTGTCCGCAGGAACAACAATCTAGTTATCGTGAATAGATGATAGACATTTGACAGCTTCTTTGTCTCTGAAAACGGACTTTGGTCGATCATTCACACAGTTTTTCAACTTATGAATACGACGTTTTATCAGAGACCTAATTGTTTTGACCCATTCTGACAATGTGTCCAGTTCAACTTCTTCTCGTTTATCCCATGCTCCGGAGTAGTCCTCAATGGAATCCATAATTAATTGGAAGTTATGGATCCAATTGATGTGTTGGGATCTCTGAACTTAAGACCATGAGATATCACCTTTCGGAGATGTTCAGATCCCCAGTGATAACATAGGCAGTGGGGCTGTAGATATAAGGCGAGTGGGAACAGCCACATGTTGGAGGTTTTTTTTATGTATTTTTCTAAATCAAGGTTCTGCAATGCTTGCCTATAGTTAAATAATTTAGATTCAATGGTTTTGGTGTAATTGTAGGATACAATAGGAACAGACTGATTTTGAAAATAAATAGGAATTTTAGATGTTACCTCTTTGTGATGAAGAACGTTGCAGGTGTTGATAGCAACAATCCCTTGAAGATGAGTGCAGTTTGTGTTGGAACCTACTTTTGACATGCTCTAAATAGTAAGCATTTTGAAAAGGATGAAAATAGAACCATTCACAAATTATTAATCAAATCATCCAAGTCGCAAATTCCTGTCGGATAAAATCATAGTTTAAATTTATCAAAATACCATGTTACTCAATAACCCACATGTCAGTGTATTTTTGCATCTCACATAGGTTAAAGAAATTATCGAAGGCAGAGGATAAGTTTTATTTGTAGATCTCATTCTTGAAATTGACACACCTTTCTTAGTAGTAAATTACCCTCGTTCCCTTCGTAGGGCGTTTATACATCTTGATAGCTAAAATGTTTTACGCGTGCATGTTCGAGTTAACCCGTCGTTAACAAGGATGTGCTTATAACAAATAATTTTTTTAGTGCGTTACAGAAAAAGCAGGTTTCAAATCGACAGTAAGCATGTTTAACGGCCACCATCACAATTATCTAATCGATACGGTGTCTCAGTGTCTTAACAGACACATGTTTTGCCGATTGTGGTTTAATCCCTATAGCTATCTAAATTCGGGTGATGAGCGTATAAAGTCCTTTTATGTTGTATAATTTCCACTTACGTAAAATAAATATAGATTAAACAAAGTATTACATGAGTAGTTTTGATGTAATTGATTAACATCTATACTATTAAAGTAAATGAAATAAATAATTTGTAATAATAAAAATATACAAATAACCCATGGTTTGTTACTGCGGACCCTTTACTGACCAGACCAGCACACCGTACACCATTACATCATGCATACACCATTGACATTACCCAATACACGTTTTACTCGGCAGTTTTCAGAATTTAAGAGCTGTAGCAGGAGACACTATTCATGTCAACACACCCTGGTTCGCTATTTCTGTTGTTCCTGTGACTCCTCGGATTTTGGTCTCTCCATTTGTATAAACATCGTGTATTGACGAGATGACGCATGGCAGAAGACGCTTAGTCCGTCGATGCATACAGTTCTTGTGATTCCCGCGGGTCTTTTATCTTGATTTTTTCTTCTTTCTCTTAAACGAGTTCCCATGGTTTAAACATCGAAACACTTGTCTCGACCCTCGGTTTGCCACTTTTCCCTTTCACTTAACTCTGTACCAAGTTTACACTCGAACAGACCGGACGGATTACATTTTTCGCCGAATGGCACATACATGTGACACAATTATTTTTTTATAAGGACCATAGAAATGATGAGTTTTACCTCTGCCATGTCAAATCTTTAACTGAGCAACTCTTCTGTTTGAAATAATCTTCATTAAAAAAAAAAACTGAACGAACGTGGACCCGATTATGATAAATCATACATTCTTTGTGAAAATCCTGCTGGAATTTTGTGAAATATTAATCGGAAAAATAGGATTTTAGGAGACATGAAATGTCTTTATAACAATTGTGGTAAAGTCAGGTTCACCTTCCCTTTATACAATAACACTATGTTGACTGCTGTAACCCAATTTTTGACATTTTTACCTATTATGTCTGTTTGTTTTGCTCACACAATGCTTTACATATAATGGAATTCTATGCGACTGTCATACGAGTGAGAGGTTTAGCTAGCTATAAAACTAGGTTTAATCCACCATTTTCTACATAAGAAAATGTCTGTACCAAGTCAGGAATATGGCAGTTGTTTTCCAATCGTTTGATGTGTTTGAGCTTTTAATTTTGCCATTTTATAAAGGACTTTCCGTTTTGAATTTTCCTTGGAGTTCGGTATTTTTGTTACTTTTTCCCTTACTATTATAGTGCCAGTTATATAAAAAGGTACAACACAGACATTACTTGTAATTTGTATTTCATGAAATAGTTGCGATTGCTCAGTCACCTTTCATGAAAAAGCTGCGATTGCTCAGTCACCTTTCATGAAATAGTTGCGATTGCTCAGTCACCTTTCTATGAAATAGCAGAGATTGCTCAGTCACCTTTCATGAAATAGTTGTGATTGCTCAGTCACTTTTCATGAAATAGCTGCGATTGCTCAGTCAGTTGTGATTGCTCGTTCACCTTCCATGAAATAGTTGCGATCGCTCAGTCACCTTTCTTTGAAGTATTTCGTGAAAGAAAAATTATGTACCAATTTGTAACATGAAGTAAAAGATCGGACTTGTATATTTTCTATTTGCAGAAACTAGCTGTTTAGACTAACTCATGGTGAACGTTGCAGCAATGTTTGTTTTGTTTGTTGAAAATGTGGTAAACATATTGTTATCTTATGTCAAACAATTCGATCTAATCGGATATTTATTTTCTGTTTTTACAGGGATTGATTGTTTTTGAATTTACAATCGTTCGTACTTGTCAATGCCACAAAGTGTCGCATAAAAAATCTCCCAATTTAACGGTTTACGACACGGAAAAAGTATGCGAGATTTTCTTATGCGTATATTTATACTTTTTGATGGTGAAAAAGAGTTTATTAGCCTTTGTATCAATTGACAGCGTTGATGGACTATTGTTGCTTATGAACGACTACAGTGATTTTATATATTATTTGTGACATCCACTAAGATACAATATATAAGAAAAAAATATAGGTTTTGTGGTTAAAAAAAAAATCAAAACTCGGATGATCACATTACAAGCAGTTCTAAATAACAGCAAAGACATTTTGTAATACAGAAGGGGATAAAAAAAAGACATATAAGGCCATGCTTTTATATTTAAAAATATAATGTTTATTATTTATCATATATGTTTTCAACAGGACATTAAAAATATTTTCCCACTTAACTGGTTTCCGGACTAATAAAATGTCATTTCAAATAAAATAACATATAAAACTTTTCAAAAACACTTTAATTCTACGTATTATATAATAAAGATTGTCATCTCCTTGCAAATACATTTTACCTATAACTATTTGTCTGCTGATACATCCACACTGATTGCAGAAGAAAATTCAATCAATAATGTACTGTACTTTGAAATTATCCCCTTTACACAGACGTGATACACATCACATTTATTATTTTTAGCGAATTCATGCTTAAGATTTGTGTTATTTCATGTGACCTTAACCGAGTATTGACTACTTAAACCGCATGTGCAGGAAACTTATTTTCACTTTACCTGTATAAAAATGGGGATGCCAAAACAGGCTTTTTTTAAAGGGATTACAAAATGGAAAAATTTCCTTATTGTGTTTATAGTACCAATTATTCTTCTTCCTATTGTATTCCATTTTGAAACAAAGGTAAGTCTTTTTTAAGTTCGATATTTTATTTTTATTTATTTTCTTTAATAACTATTGACTTTTATAAATAACATATATATTTTGCTTTGCATTACATATAGCAGGTAAATCCATGTTTTGCATTTAATGTTCAAACGAATTTTATACCTTACTGAGATAATATCTTGTAAACATTATTATAACACCGTAGTTGTTGTTAATATATTGAACTATTATACGGCTATATAAACACGTGCTTTTACGACGGACTGTACGAAGGAGTTTTTTTTTATCACGTTCTAATAATAATAGCAAGTGTGCTGTAAATTATAGGAATATCACGGTGATAAAATTAGCAGTTGTACAAAAATATTTTACACACATATCGATTATTGATTAGAATGTGATGGCGATTTCAAGGCCTTGCATTCGGTCAGACGCCTTATTATTGCTTATTGATCAGTGTTGTCATCATCATGAGACATTCTAAACATGAAAATCCATTACAATCAGTACATATAAATGCTAACTTTACAAAATGCTAAATTAAAAGAAATCATTAATAAATCGTAATGCATGCATTGAAATTGTAGACACTTTAGCCTGATAAATAAGTTATTATAGTATATTTGATACGTAAAAATCTATATGTTTATACATCAATCAATGAACCCGTAATATTCTGAACATTGTTTAACAAAAAGGTTTTATGCACATGGTATCATATTATGATAACATTTAATCACTATGTACAAAATCTGTAATCTACTGCATATACCAACCACATTTTAAGCTTACCATCCGTCACTCCGATAAAAAGTCACTTGAGGTAATGAGATAAATAAGTACAAAATGTATTGCGTCTTGTTTTTACATGACGAGAGAAAGTGTAAGGTAAGAAGTCAGGTCCCATGTCAAAAATTAAGAATTGGTATGAGAAGTACAAATGTAAAATTGGTTAAAGAGACCTGTACCGAAAAATAGAGTATATTTATTTACCTTATGGTTAAAAATAGACAAACACAACACCATAAGAAGAATGTGTCAATAATAGAAACTTTGAAGGCTACAGGACCGTATTACAAACTCCAGTTTAGTTTTATGGCTTACAAGAATAAAGAGTTGTCTAGATATTTTTTGTTGTAATGCAAGGCATGTACGGTATAAATTTTTTTTGTAATTTTATACGAACTTTGTAAGTAATATGCTTTTAAATATATGATGTATTGTGCAGTTTAAAAAGGAATTATTATTATATTTGACATAGAGGTTCAACAGGTTATCAGTTATCTGTTTTCTGTTATAAAAGAGATTGACTGTTCAATGTGTGAAATTCGTTCTTTCTCGTCAATGCAAAATATTTACTATATTTACAAAATGTACTAGCTCGTACTAGCTAGTCGAAGGCATAAAAATCTCAGATTTTAACCATCTACGAAAGAAATATTCATTCCAGTTTTCATGCATGTCGTGTATTCCATTTTTTAAATTTGATATAAATAGACCATAGATCGATGTAAAAAAAGTCTCTAAGGGAAAAGATAAGATAAAGATAGAACAACATCTATGTTAATCGTACGCTGTAATGAGATAAAGTGCTTTTGTATTACCTTCGAGTCTATATTCATCTGTCATTAAAAGTTAGTTCACTTCAATCATGTATAGTCATGTTGTACAGAATCAAAATTAATATACTCTCATGAATATGCCATAACGTTTGCAAATGGAGTAAATGACAGTATAATTTAAAGGAAACGATACTTTCTGTATTGTATTGAGGTCTTGCGACGCTGGTTTTGCATGTAATTAATCAAAGGATTTTTCAGGAAGAAACATCACACAAGAATACATAACTTTACTGATGAAGTAGCCTATTCTGTCATCTCTAAAAGCATGAATTCATTCATTCATTCATTCATTAAAAAATATTCATTGTGAGTTTAAAAATAATGCGTCCACCAAATTAAACAAATGTTTCATTACAACTTGTATAATTAAACTTTTTAGTTATTTTACTCTAAATGACGAACAAATAATAAAAAAAAACAAACAATAATTATACATTTTAACCAAATTTTCATTTTATAAATAAAGTAATTGTACTAAAGTTAAAGTTGCAACTTTCTCGGACTAACTTTAACCCTAGGCGGTTTTACTTTTCTGTTTGGTTCCGTTTGGTTTTAACGGCCTCAAACGTGTTAATATTATGGCTTCTCAATGTTTGGCTGGAGCGTATATGGTGGAAACTTATCGCAGGTCTATATTATACTGCCCATAAATTGGAATAGATGGAATAAATATGCAACGCCTTGTATGGAGACACTAAGCCTATCGGAATACCATTCACAATAATTGCTATTAAATTCAGTTGAAAATAGATTTAAAAAACCGTGTTTTCTCATTTATTCTGCATCAGTTTAAATTACGAATTACATTTTTTTTTGCAACCAGATATATAATTAGGTACGGTTAGATCGCTCTTGTAGAGTATCAGTTTATAGTTTATAGCATAACTTAAATGAAAATTTCTACGCTATTTAAAACTGTCACAGTCATTATGTTTTTGTAACTTGAATATAAACGGTACAGTGAGTACCTTTAACCAATTGTTTGACATATTTTCTCTTTCTTGCAAAATCGTTATGGCGTACAAAATGTTATAAAGGTATAATGATGACCGATATAATACTAGTAAGACAAATTAGACAATTCGATATAGAAATAACGCTCGTACACTATTATGTCGAGCAATGTTAAATATGTAAAACTCTGTGTATGGAAACACCAAGCTGATAGGAAGATCACTCTAAAAATGACTACAACTGAAAGTAGTCTTAAAAACCAATTTAATGTTGACTAAGAATTTTTTTTTTACAAATGTTATGCAATGCGGAAGAAATTTCGTTGAATATTAATCACATCATAAGAAATTGCAGGTATTTTATGTACATCTCTCCATTCAATATTTCAGCAGCGATTTTGCTGTCGCTTTTATGATAAGCATATAAACTTGCCAGTACTTGTATTAAATTCACCTTTTGTAGGAAAAATGTATTATTTGCAGTATCACTATTTTATTCGTTTACTTGTTCGCCATACACAATAATCATTGAATGATAGGTATGGCCTGTTTGGTACCTACTTTTCTTATACTTTTCTACTTAAGGAAATGCCTGTACCAAGTCAGGAATTGAACAGTTGTTTTCCTTGGAGTTCGGTATTTTTGTTATTTTTACTTTTTCATATATACCAGTCATGCCGGTATATGGTTTTTTTATTTAGTACAACCCCCTACATTTTAAAACAAGTTATAAAACAATATATCGTGTTCCACAATGTAAAGATATTATCATATTACATAAAACAAAGATCTTTACATGGTTCTGATTTCAGAGGACGACATTTTCCTAGCCATTATGAAATATATTTCAGTACAAACAATGTGTTCGATACTTCTTAAGAGAGGGGACCCTTTTCTTACGTTATATCAAAAGAGACCGTCGTCTTATCACAGGACGTATATGTTGCTTTACAAATAAAATTATATAAAAGAGACGTCGGTAATTTTTAAGTAGATTATAGATAATAATCAAAATGTTTACGAGATCACAAACAACATTTAATTAACGTATTGTATACTTACAGACAAACTGAGGATGGTAGATAAATACCCATTTAGAAATAAGTTTATGTTTTTGTTTATGTAGATTTCTTTCAATAGGTAAACACCCTTGAACTTAGACAAAATATTTGTATTGATAGTACGCTTTACATTTAATAGGATTTTGGTATGTTTTACATGCACCATCCCCTGCACAAATATATAATAAATAAAAAAAATCATAAATTTTAAAAAAATAACCAAAAAATTGTTAAAAAATCGGAAAGATTTTATGAAGTTTTAGGAGATATGCATTCTTATAATTTCAATTTCAATAAAAGGGTATACACATAAATTGGACAGCAACCCGAAGACAAGTAACACACAGTCATCTAGAGGGTAACATACAGTCTTCCTCAATAGACATGATTTATGTGTCTATACGATATTTCAAGCCCTAAATCGTCCCAAGCTAGTAACAGTTGTGAAGTTGTGTATGAATTAAACACAATTACCGGATAAATCTAAGATAGGACGTACGACAACTACTAAAATAAATATAAAAATAAGGAGATGTGGTATGATTGCCAATGAGAAAACTATCCACCAAAGTTCAAATGAAGTGGATGTAAGCAATTATAGGCAACCGCACGGCCTTCAACAATGAGAAAAACCCATACCGTATAGTCGGCTATAAAAGGTTCCGACATGAAAAATATGAAACAATTCAATTTAGAAAATTACGTTCACGACTGGGCGCAGGAACATAGAAATGTGGCTGGTGTAAACTACTTTCTCGAAATCTCTAATCCCGACGTTTATAATATTTACGATGATTCATGATTTATATGATATGTTTTAAATGTGAATTTTCTCACTATAGAATAAGACATGACTCACAGAACAAGGCAAATACTATGAATGTGCAAATTGCACGTAATACGTCCGGTACTCTTATGTCATGTGTTACTTCATATAACAATATATTGATGAGTACATTAAGTTCAAATATATCCCACATGTTATGCAATATGGTAGACATTTTTATAAACATTGAAAAAATATAAGAAATGGCAGATATTTTATGTTCATCGTTCTGCAAGTTGTTGATTTTTTTCAATGTTTTCAGTTGAATTTATTCAAATGAACGATGGTCTCGATGGGGTTTACAGAATAGTGAATAATGGGCACAAAGCCGTGCAGAATAAAGGGCAAAATAGAGAGTAATAGGCTAAAATGTCGAGAATAGAACAAAATGGCCTAAAAAATTAAAGAATACAGAAATGAAGAACCCCATCCATACCATCATGAACGACTCAACATATAAATGAAAAGATTATAATGGTGGATAAAAGGAGATAGCTCCCAACCTTTACAAAATAGTCTAAGATTTTCATTTTGGTTTGGACAATTTTTCACC